TGACAACGTGCTTCCTCAGGATCTTAGAATGAAGAGACATCACGGTACCGTTCACTCCAAGTGTCTCTCCTGGGATCAACACCTTCCCCAAGCTCCAGGGGCGTGGTTTCTGGGTGGGGTGGGTGCTGTCCCACGCAGTGGGTGGATGTGGCCAGAGTCTCTGGAACAGCCAGCCATGTGAGCAGGAACAGGGGTCCTTACTGCTGAGGCTGGCTTCACTTCCCCAGCAGGGCTGCGGGGACGGATGTAGGAGACGCTGTCCCCGAGAGCTTCACAACCGACGGTGGTTAAGGTACACGAGGCATCTCGTCCCCGGGGCACCCAGGAGGCAGGCGCCCAGGCTGCCTGGCCCTCCCAGCCTCCCACCCAAGGCAGGATGAGGGGAAAGAGTGAGTCACCTGTGCTGTGGCCACTGCTGGCTGGCCGTGGGGCATCCAGCAGACCTGTACCGGATGCCTGGGGTCTAACAGAGACCCTGGGATGACCCTCCACACCGCACCTCAGTGCCCACCCTGGACCTGCCGCATCTGATGTCCTGGCCCACCCATGCTCAGAGGTGGCTGGGGTCTGCCTATCCCTGGGGACTCTGGCCTGGGGCGGCGTGCTCGGTGCTTCATAGCCAATTTGAAGGATGGATTCCAACGTAGCTGGTTTATTCTGAGATAGGCAATGGCATGGCTGACCGTCCGGCATCTTGCCATCCACGAACTTACAGAAATGTGCAGGATAAACAGTGATTGGAATATTTCTGACACGAACACGTGCCGAGGCAGCCCCAGCCACAAGTCTCTGCACCTGGGTCCCTCCTCTCCCTTCCGGTCCCCTCTGTGATCCCTGCTGGTGGGGCTGCAGAAGCCACAGCAGAACTGAGGACGGGACGGCCTAAGGCCTGTTCCAGGGGCAGGAACCACCGTCGGATGCAAGGGGAGGAGGCTGCTCCCACCCTGGGGAGAACCTGCAGTGCCCACCACTCACCTTGCCCCAGGTGGACAGGTGTCCACAGGGCTGCGCCAGGCCAAGAGGCAGGGGCTACAGAACCGCCCCAGAGCCCAGTTTGTCTCCTGAGTCCACAAAGGACAGCAGACTCCCCACTTTCCCAGAATCTACAAGGACAGCACACCTCGGGGGATGTGTGGCACGTGTTTCATTCAGTGGCATCTGCCCTGGTGACCTGGGAGCTCTCTGATATTTTGATTCCATTTCTTCCTCTTGAATGCTAAGCATGAGCCACTAAATCATGCCCACGACCCACTAATGGGGTTACGGCCCGCACTTTAAGAGAGAATGATCTTGGAAGTGCCAGCTTCAGCATGTATGGGCCGGCGTAGCCCATCCGTTAATCTGCCTGTCCCGCGGCCTGACATGGCCTCAGGAGGGCTGCAGGGCCCCAGGGCCAGGGCCAGCTTTGAGTAGCCCACTCTGGGGACAAAGGAGTGAAGGCAGCAGGGACACACTGTGGGGCCGGGTGCTTCACAGTGAGGTGACACGAGGAGGTGCCGCCCGTGGGGTGGGCACTGGCAGGAGGAGGGTCTACCCCAGGAACAGCCATGGGATGGAGTTAGCGGCCACCACGTAGTCACGGGGCCTCCTGAAGCCCATTGATGAGAAAACCCTCATATCAGAAAGCCAGTTTCTGGTGACCTGTGAACCCAGGGTGTTAATCTACCCCTGTAGGGTCAGGAAGCCACCATGGAGCTAGAATGACAAGCTCTGGCTCTCAGAGTCTGGCTCAAGAGCTCAACCATTAAAAAGCTTAAAAACCGATGGCCACAGGCCAGGGATCCCAGAAGGAGCTGGGCTTCTGCTCTCCCAGGGACGCAGGAGATGGCTGGTAGACTGCCAGGTCCACCTGTACCCTGGCCACCGCCCGTGCCACCCAACGAGAGCCCTACCCTGGGATCCTGGGCCCATGCCAAGTGGAGCTCAGCACTGGGGACGTGATGCTTGGTCCCAGCCAGAGGAAGGTGGCCCTGAGCCCCTGCACCTGCTCCCCACTTCAGGGCCTGTCACCGTGTGGGAAGAACCTGGAGAGCTGGGGCCGCAGCACCCTTCCCCCACCCACTCGCCCTCACCTGCTCCTGGACAGCACCTGCACCTGCCATGTCCCTGCTGGCATCCAGAGGCCCTCAGGGGTGGGAGGAGGCCCCCAGATGCATCTACCAAGGGGCAGTCGGGCGATTCTCAGGCTCCCGAGCTGACAGACACCCGTCTCATGCCAAGCCCGGGGCCAGCTTGGCGTGGGGCAGCCTGGCAGGTGCGAGCCCCACCTCCCTGGCTTCCTGGCCACCCACAGCCACTCAAGGTGTCCAAACACAACTTCTGTGACGGAAGCTCAGGCCTGTGTGGCCAAAGGAATTGGAGCCAGCACTGTCCACTCTTTCTGTGAGTAAATTCAGTACTGGATAGTGCAGCTGTTGCTGCTGGTGGTGAGGACGCTTGTACCTGCTCAGTGTCCCTGGCGTGTGGCCCTCCTCCATGTGCCACCCTCTAGGAATGGGTGCCCACGCCCTCCCAGGGAAGCCCACCACTCAGGGAGGCCCATCTCTGGCCGTGCTAGTGGCCACACTGGCTCCGCGGCAGGGAGACAAGTGGGGACTTGCTGTTGACGAGTTGGTTCAAAAACTCGGTTCAGAAGGACTGGGAGGGGCACGCAGGAGGCAGGCAGGCCGGTCCCATCCCCATGTGACAACAGCAAAGACATGAGGACGCAGGCGCCCCTGGGCACCCACGGGACACGGGCTCCAGGACCCCTGCGGTGCCGACTCCCGGGGTGTGGAGCCCCACGTACCGTGGCCTAGCCCTGGCAGGATGCTGTGCCCCTTGCAAGGAGCACCTGAAGTCACCCCGGGTCACTTGGCACCCAGCACCACCCAGGGCCGCTCCTCAATGGCTGCAGCACCCTCTTCAGGGAAGCAGGGCCAGGGCCAGGTCCTGCCCTGTCCAGCAGACGCAGGTCCCCAGCATTTTCCCTCTGCAACCGGTTGACCCTGCAGAGGTCGTACCCGAGGCCAGGGAGGGAAACCACCACAAAGCCCACCCACTGGGGCTTTGCCCAGGGTCCTGACATGCTGGGCCGCTGTCCCCCCACCCCTCAGGGTGGGTCCCTCGCACTGGGGGCTTTATGGATGACCATATTTGGAGTTGCCAAGTGGGGGCTGCAGGTCCCGGGCAGTGGGCCATGCTCAGAGGCTGGCCAGCTCATGGGGAAGGGCTACTTCAGGGGAAGACGGTGTTTTGAAACTAGACAAGTGGGTGCTCACCCTGTGAGCATGCCCAGTGCCACTCAGGATTTTATGTCTATGAGTCTCACCACAATAATTAGTGCCCCTAGCAGCTTCCACGTTGGGGACAGGAGGGGAGAGGGGTTGGAGGGGAGGGGAGGAGAACTAGCACTCACCCATGGCTACCCGGGGGCTGTTCCCAGCCCAAACTGGCCTTGCGTATAAGGCTTGGCCTCCAGTCACACCCCAGAATGCTTGTCCACCTTGACAAGGCCCATGATGGTGAAACTGAGGCCAGGAGGGAGGGTAGCATGTCCATGCCCTCCATGCCTCAGGACAGGGTCTGGACACCACGGGGTCCTTCACCTCCAGGCCTCTGTCTGCCAAGGGCCCAGAGGTCACCCTGGGCTCCAGGTGTGGTCACATCTGCAGGGCTCCTGCTCCCTGCAGGCAAACCCATGCGTCTGCCCGAGGACAGTCCTCTGCTGTCCTGTTCGTGCCCTGGGGAGGCCCGAGCCCCTGGCGGTCAGTGCTCTTCCTGACAGCTGTGCCCGGGCTGGTACCCAGGCTGCCTTCAAGGCCAAGTGCACTTTCCACCAACGCGGGAGGCCTCAGAGCCACTGCTGGACCTGAGCACTGCCCTCCCAGCTTGCTGAGGGGTGGCCGTCAGGCTGCAGCTGGGACACTGTGGCTTTACAGCCTCAAACTGTGCTCAGACCCTGTGCACCTGCCCAGCCAATGGAACCAGGTGGTCATGGCTGTGCCCAGAGTGTCCACACCAAACGGCCCCAGAACACATAGAAGAGCCCCTCCGGCTTCCGTCCCGTGCAGGAATGGGGAGACGCTCCTGTGGTCTAGTCTGAGTGGCTGCAGCCCCCTGCCAGATGCAGTCCCCAGAAGAGTCCTGGACACCTGTGGGGCTTTCCAGATCCTTCCTCAGAGCCAAAGACCTCAGGGAATGGGGCCTGGGTCAGGGGTCACAACAGCGGCTGGGGTCCTCAGCCCTTGACATGAGCGAGGAGGAGCCGGACGGGTGGAGAGATGGAGGTCACACCCTGTGAACCCGCCTTCCAGCACCCAGGGCCACACCCACCTGGACTTGGGCTCTGTGGCCTCAGCCCTAGTGGGGAAGCTGCCCACAGGGCCCAGGTGTGTGCTGGGCAGTTGATCTCAGAGGAGAAATGTCAAAGAACCATCCACGAATGACCCAGAGCCATTTGCTCCCAGCCACCTCTGGGCAGAGCAGCTCGGGGACCTAGTGAGCAGGAGCTCTAGAGGGGAGTCCACAGGCCACCTGTTCAGAGGGAAGGTGGGACGGAGCTGCTGCCCTCAGCGAGCTCAGGGTCTGTAGGTGGCCCCTGTGCCACATCTGGGGGAACTCGGACAACGTCCCTTCCCAGTCCTGACTCTTTGGAATGTCCCCTTGGCCCCAGGTGGGCTGCAGAGCTCATCCTGGTCAGGAGGTTGTGGACACATGCCACTCCAGACCCAGAAGGCAGGAAGCCCTGTCACCCTCCACTGACCAGCCTTCTGGTGGTTCCATTTCCAGCTGCTTGGCCTCCATGTGCACCCTGTGACCATGATCAGGGACGAGTTGCCAGGGCCTTGGCCCCAGAGTGAGGTGGGGAGGAGATAGTGCCAGTGGCCTCTGCCCAGGAAAAGAGCCACCAGCTGCCACCTGTCCTGTCATAGCCACACTTCCACAGCCACTTCCCCTGGGCTCTGGCATCTCAGATGCTCCCCACCCCCGACGCCCCCACCCGAGGACGAGGCACGTACCGTGGTGGTCTTTATCCGCCCGCCGGGCTGTGTGCACGTCCAGCCTGACCGGTTGATCAGCAGGTCGCAGCCTTCCCCCTCCAGGCAGGGCAGCATCTCACACCACTGCTTTGTCTTGATGATGCGCGCTGCGGAGAAAGGAGGCGGTCAGTGCTGCCCACCCGCATGGGGTGTCCCCGGGGCTGGACCCTGGCCATGGTGCTTGGCACCTGGGTGTCACAGAGAAGCCATGGGGGCAGCTCCAGGAGTGCTGCCCAGGGACAGTACGCAGGGAGGCCAGCCAGACCCCTCTCCTGGTTTGGGGCTAGATCCCCAGCCAGGCTCTGCGGCCATTAGGCACTGACCAGCAGGTCCTAACCCAGGGTTCTGGGGGCAGCTCCACTGGACAGCATCACGGCCCTGCCGAGGGGCAGCAGCCTCACTCGCTCCTTTGTTAGGAAAGGGTGGAGGAGGACTCCCTGGGCAGGCACTCTGCAGACGCACCCACGGTGGCCGTCCACAGGAGGTACTGAGCTGGGCTCCGTGCTAGGAGTGAGGCCTCCCAGGAAGTGGTGGCTTTGACAGCAGCCAAGCCCTGGCCCCCGGCCTCTCCCCTGCACACCCTGGGCTGAGCCCAGGGCCACTCCTGCCCCAGTGGCTAAGGCTCCAGGACCAGAGGGCCTCAGTCCCAGGTGTGGCCACTGGACAAGGCAGGGTGGGTGCCAGGGTGGAGGCCAGGCGGCAGGCGGGGGCAGCTGGCTCCCGTGAGACAGGCTGTCGGGCCCCAGTCAGCTTCTCCCACCCCCAGGGGACCTGCACCCTCTCTTCCCTGCAGACCCAGCCTGGATTGTGTCTGTAGGGAGACTGCTCTGTGACAGACGCCCCAGAGCAGGGCACAGGGGAGGAGACCCCAAGTTCGCACTCTTCCATCCAGAAACTTCCAGCCAACTACAGTGACGTCTCAGGTTGGAGAAAACGCTCCCTCCTCCCAGGGCGCTGCCGGTGGCCTGAGCTGCACTCTCAAACATGGCTCAGAGCAAGGACAGCCGGCATCAGGTGGGGCGCCAGCCACCTGCCAGGGGTAACTTGGATGCAGGTAAGCAGTGAACACGGGTCCTGGTGTACACGGGATTCCACCCAACTTCAACCCCCTATGCCAAAAAGTGGAGAAAACTTGTAAGTTTACATTTTTAAAAAAAAGCACCGGTGCAAGGCCCCGAGCCCAGGAGGGCCACCCCTCTGTCCCAGGGGTTCCTGCCAAAACAGGTGCCCTGCGCCAAACGCAGAAGCAACCACAGCTCCTGACGTGCTTCTCCCCACCCGCGAGGCCCTGCGTGGACTTCCACGTCCCGTGGCTCACCACCTCAGTCCACCACCTCAGAATAGGATGGAAATCTGTCACCGGGTGCCAGGACACAGGTGGTCACCTCCACATCCCCCTCCGTGCTCCTCCTCCCTGGAACCATGCTTTGATGGGCATTGTGGCCCCAGAGGTGCAGAGTGCCAGGTGTCAGCTGCAGCTCTGCCACCTGCAGGTGGGAGGGTCCCTCTGCCACCCTCACAAGGCGCAGGCTGCGAGACCTTCCCTGCCCAGGCAGAGGGGACCTCAGCACCCACCCAGCCCTGCTCCAGCCTTCTCACCACACCCCAGCTCCTGGGCTCCCTCAACTTTTTCTTTTAGAAAAGACAAACCGCAGATTCTTGATTGGCACCCACTAGAGCTGCAGTTGTGCAGGATTCATATTCAGTGAGCTTTCTCCCAAGCAGCAGAAGGGTGGCCACCAGGGCAGCAGCGGTGCACGTGCATGGGCCGAGGGCACGCTCTCAGAAGTGGTGTCCTCCAGAGAGCCAGCCAGCTGGCTTCCCAGCCCTGCCCTGAGCAGGTGCACAGGGCTCTCACGGCAGGGATGGCCAGGGCCTGCTGTTTCTGGGTTGACATCCTTAATACTGTGGCAAGCAGCCCTCGGTGTCACATGGCCACTGTGTCTGGGGCCCCACAGCTGGCCCTGGAGGTCCTCAGGAGAGGTCTCACCCAGCAAGGACTGAGTCTGGGGGTCATTCCAGAGGAGGAGGATCTGGAGGCTGGGGACAGTCAGCTAAACAGATAAGGGAGGCCCCCAGCTGGAGTGACCGCCCCTCCTTGCCAGTTCTGATGGACCAGGAGGAGCACAGTGGACGGGAGTCCTGGGATCAATCTGTTATGACTGCCATGGACACAGAATAGGACCCTGGGGAGGACGTGCTGCCCACCCAGCCCACCCCAAGGCATGCTGATACGCCCAGTCAGTGAGGCAAGTTGTCCCAAAGCCAGTCACAGGCTGGCTCCTCCCCAGGCCACTGCCAAGCCCTGAACACAAGTTCACGGACTGAGCCCCCCAGAGCCTCGCACTTGGAGATGGGGCCTTGGGAAAGCAGTTGAGGTCAGGGGAAGTCCTGAGGTGGGCCCTGACCTGACAAGGTTGGTGTCCTTGTCAGAGACACCAGGGAGCGCTTCCCAGAACCACCGCCTTGGGAGGACACGGGGAGAGGACGGCCCTGCAAGCCAAGGAGCGCCTCCCAGACCCGGCCCCGCTGGCACCTTGACCTTGGTCCTCCAGGCTCCAGAGCTGGGGAGTCTGAACTGCCAGCCAAGGTGTTCTGCTGCGGCGTCCCGGCTGGTGGTGGCAGCCAGGACGGCCACAGATAGGCAGTGTCCCTTACTGAATGGCAGACAGGCGTCAGAGCAGGGTCCCCAGAGGGGTCAGGCTGGGGCTGTGTGCACTGCCGCCCCCGCAGAGCTCTGGGAGAGGGACCCAAGGGAACAGTGGCCACCCAGGCTGTGCCCTCAAGCCCTCAAGGCCTCAAGCCGGCCTGCCATGCCCCCGGGCTCCCACCAACCCCAGCACGGTGACCGGGGGCAAGGAGCGCTGCGGCCACACACATTCTCCTGGCTGCTCATGGGTAAGTCATAGCAGCCACCCGGCCATCGCTCCTGTGCCACTCTGGATGACAGTAAGAGACGGCACAAAAACCTTCTCAGACACCAACCCATCCCAAGGCTGAAGCCAAGAATAACCACGGATCAACACACCTTCCCACCCCACGCGACCTACAAGTCGTGCCTGAGACATTCGACACACGAGGAACCCGGCAGCATGCCTGGCCTCGACCGCTGAGCGGCGGCAGGGAAGGGGCTGGCTGTGGCCTGGAAGAGCCCCACTGTGTGCTCCCAGGTGTCCCCGGGAGCCACCCAGAGGCTCTCAGATAGGTGCCACCGGTCTGAGTCTGATGAGGCCTCAGAACACTTCACAGTGTGCCTGGGCCCAAGTCAGCCATGCGGCCCCGAGAACGGGAGCAGGTCCTGGCTCTCGCAAGAGGTGGGCAGGAGGGCCCAGGCTCAGCACCACCTGCCACCACAAAGCAGGGCGCTGGGGCATCCAGCCCAGGCCAGGGCCAGCCCAGGCAGCACAGCAGCACTGGTCCAGAAAGCTGGTCCTGGCCTGTTCGAGGGCACGTGGTGACTTCCGTGTGTGTGCGTGTGCCTAGCGTGCTCAGACAGCAAGCCCCCGGCACTGGGGCTTGGGTTCAGATCTCACACTACCTCATGGCAGCTGGGGACCTCAAGCCAGGGCTCTCCCTCTGAGAGAGTCCTCCCCGGGAGCTGGCAGACAGCACGAGGCTCAGCAGGCCAGCGCCCCAGTGCCCCTCTCAGCCCTCTGGGTCAGGCAAGGTGGAGGTGGGAGGCACTTGGGCTGCTCAGACCAAGGGCTGAAGATGCAGGCAGAGGCTGGGGAGACCTGCAGCTCGGGGCATCCTGAGAGCCCCACAGGGCCTTCCTTGCTGGGCCCCGGCTCCTCACTACCGCGTGCAGCCAGGCCCCTAGCCACCAGAAGCAGGTCACCTGCCCACACACAGGGGCTGCTGAGCCTGTCCCTCCTGGCTGCTCCCTCTCAGGCTGTGTCCTGCTGGCCCCAGGGAGAGCCCCAGGGACAGCCCACATGTTGGTGACAAGGGAGGCAGAGGAGGGCGGGTCCTGAAGGCCTTAGGTCAGGGGTGAGGAGGACAACTACACTGTGGCCTGCATGGTGGCCACACACTGCACACACGCATCGTCCACAGGCAAACATGTTCATGCATGTGCATAAACACACGTGTATACACAAGCATGCATGTGCACACATAAACACAGACACACGTGTAGCCACTCACACAGGTGTAAGCCCTGCATGCTCACGCCTGTGCACCTCCACACGGTGCACACCAGGCACACGCACACACACAGGAAGGCCCCTCTGGGGCCCTGTGGCTGGCAGTAGGCACATGGAAGCATTTGCGGAATGAATGGACAAGCAGAGTCACTGGCCCTGCCCGTCCAGGCCTGGGTGTGCCCAGAGCCAGCGCTCCGAGGACACAGTGCCCGGCGCTGAGCACACAAGTCCTTCTGTTTGCCCCCGAGGGCTCTACCGCCCAGCCCAGCCCACTTCCTGCTGGAGGCGGTGGGAGGCTCAGTGCCGGGCCACCACGTCCCAGGGACAAAGGGGCTTTTCATGCCCCATCTCACAACTTCACTTCACCGGGGCACGGCTCCGAAGGCCCCGCCTCCGGCCTCATGTCTCTGCAGCTCTCAGGGCAGGAGAGGGACGTCCCCAGGAGCTGACGAAGCTTCCCGGGAGCCTGAGTGGTGGTGGCTGGTGGCCAACCTCTGGGCAGACATGGCCACAACTGGGCTGTGTGACAACCAGGAGGCTCCTCAGCATGCCGAGGTCAGGGGCCGGGGTCTCACATGTCCCACATCCCCACTGAGAGTCCCGGGCGTGCAGAGAGCAGGAAGCCCAGGAAGGGCGGGCCCAGCAGTGGGGCTCGAGGTGAGGTGCACGGTTCTGCCAGTCCTGGCCTCGGACAGGAGCCATGGCCCCGGGCTCAGTGAGGACACGCTGTTGCCCTTTCCACCGGCCACGCTTCCCCAGAGCCTCATCAGGAACCCTGCACACAGCCCTGCTCTCTGGGGAGTCTGCATGCACACACACGCACACACAGGCACACACTCACGCCCACCACAACCACACCACAGTCACACACAGGCACAGGCACACACAAACCCATGAACCCCCACGGGCACTGTGTCCGCACACCCACAGCTCACATCCTCGGGCTTGCTGACAGCCCTGCA